CTGTGTTTGCAGTGATTAATATTTCTATTTCATAATCACAGATTCCAGTCTTAACCATGGACAGGTCAGTAGAGAAGCTGAAGATAGAACTACAGCTCATAATACCATGACTCCCAGAAAATCATCAAAGGGGTAGTGGTGGTACCTGAGGTTACATGAAGATTGGCAAGGAACTAATGTGAAATAATCTCTTCCCTCTTTTGCAACCATAAGCAAAAGAGTAAAGCCATCTTTTACACTTTGTTGAATTCAGTAAACAATTGGAATCAAGACTGGAAAATGCAAGTGTGATCCCTCAAGTTCATCTTTTTTTTTTCCCCCAAATGAACAATGCAAGAAAACTAACAGAATCATGATGAGCCATGTAAGAAAGAGGAATATGAGGGATTCAAAGAGTTTTGGAGGTATTTTATCTGGTTCTCTACCCAAAATGAGAACTCTTAAATCCAATGGGAGTTTTTACATCTACTAGGAAACTCCCTACCTCATGGGTCCAAGTTTCCTTATCTACAAAATGGTAATAATAATGTGACGTATGTCATAGGATCATTGTGAGCATTAAGTGAATTCGTGCTTGTGAAAGTTTTAGCACAATATCTGGACATATGTGGTTATCATCGCCTTTGCAAAATTTTGCATTCCTTCCTAGGACTTTTCTCATTGGATGGAAAATCTGTTTACTGAACCAAAAAGCAGCTTCTGGGACTATGCAGAATAAATCTAATCCACTGTCTATGTTATCAGGCCTTCAAATACTTGAAGACAGCTTTCATGAATTTAATAACTGCTTTTTGTGGCTTTTTTAAATTTCAAGAATAGAACACAGTAGACCATAAAAATGAGCACTATCAGTCTTTCTTTGGATTTTCCATGAAAATGTTGTTTAACATTCAAATGGTGCTGATTATAATTTGAGATATTAACAGTGAGACATGCCATTGTGTCCCTCTGTTATTGTTTATAAAGGAGGTTAAACACTATATTAACTGTGAGTAGAGATTTACTCTTGCTTTTGTTAAAGAAAAATAAAAAAGAAGTAAAATGATGTAATTTGATATTGCCTTTGAGACTTCATTTTGTGGAAGTCTTTATTTCCTACTCAATTTTATTTTTTAAGAAGCATAGATATAGTGTAAATACAACATCACATAAATGCAGAGTTGTTCTTTTCTTCCTGGCTTAAGCTGTTGAGTAATATTGCTCTGTACCCATTAAGCAGCTGCTCTGCCTCTGAGATGCTCATGTTTCCTTTGGTAGATGAAGGGAATTTACTACATGAATGTCTCCAAATTGCTTTAAAATCATTGGTCTTTGTATCAGCTATTTAGATTTACAGTAGTCTCTCTATGTGACATGTGAAAGCTACCTTTCTGAAAAGCCCCAGGAGCCTGGATGGCACCCTGTTAACACCAACGACCTACATTTTTGTTGAGTCTGGCCCTCTAAACTGTTTATTGTACAGCTCCTAACCTATTTTAAGGTCCTCCCCAGTTATTTTTCTAGAGTCTTCTAGTATTGTCTTCCATATGCTAATGAGCAAGCACTGTTAGCCATCCAAGTTCTCAGTCGTCTACTATTGTTTAATATGTTTTGTCTTGGGTGATGCGTGTCCATTGTTAAGGATGTGCTGTGTGCAAAAATGCATGAAGGTGGCAGCCATCAGCTTCAAGTACTTCTCTCACACTAGCTCCTTGCCTGATTCCCAGCCACCTGCACTCCTAGGCTCATTGTCAACAGCATTATCCCTTGTCCCCCGGAAGACTCCCTTCTGAAGTCTCACCATGCTTCTGGCAGGAGTACAGCCAGTTGGGACCCGTGGTGTTGTCTTTTGTGCTGTGGGTTCCACAGCAGTTCTGATATTTTCCCACTGCTTTTTATAGTTTTAGAGAAATAATCTTTAGTTTTCTTAGTAGATTCCAATATCCTAGAATGTAGAGAATTGGGGATAGGAGGTGGAGAAACACTCTGCTGTATCCTGAATTGCCTCCCCCTTTCTATGAGGTCACTGTTGCATTTTGTCTATGTTGGCCTACCTGTTTTCCCACCAGTAGAATTAGTCCTCCCTCATAGTTTGGCTCCTTACAGCCCCATGCACCACGCCATGTTAAAGGCATGGCTTAGAAGCAGGGGGACCTCTGGCTATCGTTGGAATAATAAGGAAATCAACTTTAGGTTATATCTGCATAATGAGATACTACCATGTATTACATGTGATGTCATTTATATATATATAAATATATAAATATATATATATATATATATACCAAGATGTTCACTATTATTCACTCACTCATTCAGTTTATAAGTATTTTTTGGAGTGCCTGTATTTAAACACTTCTGTTCTTTTGGTTGCTGTTTTGTTCTAAACACAGCAGAATCAGGGATATGAGCTGACCACTGTCACTACTCTTTACCATTCTACCCAAAAGTTTAAATGAACCCTGCAGGGACCAAGTTCCAGGGAATGAGAAGAATAAGTGTATTTATCTGCCAAGCTTAGACATCTATGTCTGCAGTGTCATAAAATAAGTAAGATGTCAATTTCAAACCCTGTTTAAGACATTTAAAGTGACGTTAAGGTGAAATGTTGTTCTGTGGTCATTTAGTAATCACTCTATATATAGGCAATGAATTAGTCATTAAGGGAGACACAGAGATGAACCAAACCTAGTCACTCTCCTAAATAAAGGAGCTGATAATCCAGCAGGGAATTCAAGATCTGAAAACTGATATCCTGGAAAATGTGAATGTACAAAGTATAAAATAAGTACAAACTAGGTGCTACATGAGTACAGAGGAAAGAGATTATTTCTGGCTGGCCCGGGGGTGGAGGTGAGATGAAGGTGGGAGAGCCGTTTGTGGAGTGGGTGCTGGTGGAGCTGGATGTGGAAGGCTGAGAGTAGAGGGTACAGGAAGAACGGCCTGATCAGAGGGGCTTCTGGGCGTGCTGCAGCAGCAAGATATTCTGAGGGCAGGCATTTCTTGAGCGCAACTAGGTGACGACAGTCTTGTCTGGTTAAGTATATGAGCTAGAGTCATGATAAATAAGGTTCTTACATTTAATCTATTTATTAAGTTTACTACATTTAAAGTGTAATAAGCTATACCCACAACAACAAAAGCAACAAAAAATCTTTGTATAAAATAACAGGATTCCAGAAAACTAAAAATGTCTTTTTTTCCCAGCTGAGCAAAGGTAGTTAGTGTCCTGTTTTTTTATCCATGACCTTTAGTACTTTGTACAGTGCTGGTTACATAGAAGTTTCTCAATTATCACTGAAATGAACGTGGCCTGTTGAAAACTCAATTGCTCAAGAAGAGTTTCTTAAAACACAAGTGCATCAAATGGGAACATTTTGTTATTTGTGTCTTAAAAATGTAGCCTTTTTGTTCAGAGCAGTGACTTAATATGAGACATAAGTTTTATCATTAGAGGAGAGCTTTTTAACTCCTTTTTTCTATTTCTTTTGTTCTGTTTGTAAAGAAGGCAAATAGGTGATTATAGAACAGTGCTCAGACTTCCCAAGCTCCTCACTCCACAACAGGAAAGTATATGTGCCTGTTAAATGGGTTTACGTCTGTTCCTGCTATGTATGGTTGGAAAACCATGTCGTGACATTTGTTCTGGTGAAATTTCTAAAGACATATTTACAAATGATTTGGAACTGTCTGGAGTCCGGTGTGTGTAGTTCAATGGCTAGCTGATCGTTGGGTCCACTGGGCAAGTAATTTATTGGTAACATTTAGCCAGTGCTTACCATCAGTTTTCCACTTTTGTCACATTTAGTATTCCTAATAACTCTATGAGATCTCATATCTCTAATTTACAGATGAGAAATCTGAGACACAAAGAGGTCTAATGGCCAGGATTCAATAACTGACAAACTGGCTGGGGTATGAATCCCATCTCCTTGACCTGTGGGCTCCATATTGCTAAACCACCCATGCCTTCTCAGCCCTGTCCTGAGTGTGATCTCTTGGCCAGCCCCAAGACTTCATCTCAGATGCAGCCTAGTAGCCAAATCTTGGAGTGCACGCTTTGCTTTCCTTTTTAGAAGTGTTTGAATCCTGGGATTTTTCAGATACTGCACGTTTCCTTCCTAAGGCTTCTTTCTCTCCTCTCCGACATTACAGCCCCTTGCTCTAACCGAGAACCCAGGGAGGGGCCATTACTGTTGTCCCTATGGGAGTCCTTGTCTATGCCAAACATGTCTGAGGTTGCTCAGTCCCCTGAGCTGTGGACCCCGTGAGCCCTGCGTGCAGGCGTCATGTAAGGGTCCTGCGGCATTCTGTGTTCTGGAGGCCTGGACTCACTGCCATTTGCTGCAAAGGGTGTCCAGTTCTTGAAATCAAGGGAGTCCAAGGGAATAAGAGCAGGAGTGAAGGAAGCACTGAAATCATGCAAGGTCTATGAAAGGTGCAGAGAAATAGATTGACGCAAAGTGTTTGCTGTACATACAGGTTCTGCTGTTATGTCACTGGTGACTTTGGAACAGGGTGACACTGCTGGTAACAGCAGTACAGTTTTCTTTCATCAAAGACGGATTTGTGAAAGAAAAGTGGTTTCAAGAAACCTTTGAAGTATTTCCAACAAGGTGCTAATTGTGGTTGTGGTTTTCCTTTTTCTTTCTTCTTGTTTTTGATGGGTGGACTTTAGTCTACAGGTGCTACTGAGTCAGATGCATTCAACAAGTACCCTTGAACCTTATTCTTTATGTGTGGCCCGTGGCAAATAACAACCATACCAATTTCCCTGTATACTGAGAAAGTTAAGGGAAAAAATGTTCTAGGATGTTTTAGGCATTTAAATCTTTTACATTTGTTTAATGAGATCCAGTTCGACTTCACGAGATATTTACTTTCACTTGCCCTTGTTGTAAGCATACTTGTGAGTGTTCTAACCTTTGGTTTAAGAACACTGAAACAAATTCTGATGTTTAATAATTTAGTTTGCTTCCTGCTTTACATTGATCTTTTTTCTCCTTGATGTTTATTTTCAGGGTACCTTGAGGATAGTTTTGTAAAATCTGGAGTCTTCAACGTATCAGAACTTGTGAGGGTATCCAGAAGTGAGTAAATAATTTTATTATTATTTAAACATAAAATATGGTTCATGATATTTTACATTTTGAGCTTTAAATGAAAAGAGGACACATACATTTGCATACAGGCTTTAAAATCTCAAATCTTGGACAAAATCTTAAGTAATATATTTTGTCTGATTTTTAAAAATCCTTCAAGTGATCAAAACTTTGTTGTACAAAAATAATTTTGAGATTGTGTTGATTGCCATGTTTTCGCTATTCATTTAATTCACTGTTCTCTGTGACCATAGATGGTCATTTATATAAAAGGAAGTGTGATTAATTAAATGTACTCAGTGTTGTTATGATAACCCACATAAGTTTCCTGTAGATAAGTGCTTTTTCATTTTACTAACATTTTGGTGGGGGTTGGAGATGTACAGGATATACACACTAATGTGCAGAGTGTGGAGGGATGCAGAAATTAACTTTGCAGATTGTTGTGGGATGGATATAGATAGAAAGCATTGTTATCCAAAACAATGTCCAATTGTTTTAACTGGCCACCTCACCTGAGACACCATTCTTGGCAGGCCGGATCAGATTTTTCTAGGCTAAGTTCACCTGGCCAGCTACCTAAGCAAGGGGAAAGTTCCTTGATTAACTCTCTCATTTACTACATGCGTGTGCAGACATACTGAATGCATTGAGTCTGTTGGAGGAGGTGACGCTTTCCTGCTCCCTTCTCAGCCTTAGCTTGTTTGTGTAACTTCAAATGGTAGCTTTGCACCTCACACTTTATGAGAAAGCATTCCCAGTTTAGAGTGATGTATTCAGGTGTTGCAGTGGCACTCTGGTCTTTGTTTAAGTTGTGTTTCTCATGTGGTGCAAATTAAGAGGTCAAGAATCAGAGTTCTGATGCTCCAGAAGGAGTAGAGAGGGAGTGAGTTACTGAGGGGAAGAGTTAGCAGTAGCTTCAGTGTTGTGAAGAAATTTCCAAGCTGGAGGCTGAGTATCCATTCAACCATAATTTCTCAAATAGCAAGATTTCTGCAGTGGCCAAGGACATGTACTTGTGTCTCAGGGAGTAACACATAAGAACATTTAAGCCCTGAAGTAACATTCTTCCTGGTATAGTTCTGGATTCCATAAACATATGATGCATGGACCTCTGTCATACTTGGGGAGTGTAGGAGATAACAATCTTAGTATCTACTTCTCTGTATCTCCAGGGTATGGATTTGCTGGGCAGGCAGATTCTCGTGATCTCTGTTGCCCAAGACAATGAGCCCTACCTGGTTTTCCAGACCAATATGTGATAGACAGAGAGGCCTTTGACATTTGAAAGTTTTTAAGTTTTTTTAGTTTTAGATTTGGAAAGAAATATGCCTGACTTATTCATGAGCGCATTGCAACATCATGTAAAGGAAGAGGCTCTTTCAAGGTGTGTGTGTGTGTGTGTGTGTGTGTGTGTGTTTGAGTCAATACTACTCTTTAGCAGAAAGGCTGTGCTGCTGCAGTTGGGAGACTTATCAAATTATTTGCTTAAATTCGTATTTCACTAAGTTCCCTGATAGAGTTTCATCCTTCGTATGAGAAGGGCAGTGGAGTCGTCTGTCAGAAAATATTTATTTAGTACCTCATTATGGATAATATTACGCTAAGTGCTATCGAAAGAAAACCACCCTGAGAACCTTCAAAAGCCCAGAGTGATATTTTGAAAAATCTGAATTTAAAACATTAAAAAATAGATTGAGAACACCTTTCTTTAACAGCTCTGAAAAAGGATAACACCTCAGTCATTTCTCATTCATACTGTCATCTCTTAGAAGTTTCTAGGTTATTTGTTAGACCTACCATTACTAATTTGTAATTAGTACATTAATTATCTATATTCATTCATTAGTTAATTTATTCAGCAAACATTTATTTTCTCCTCCATATATAAATAGGTGTCTCTGAAATGCTTGAAAACTTATTCTCCTAAGTGTTTCATGTATCCACATTATAATCTTGTTTACACAATTGAGCTTCATTGTTTATGAAATAAGGGTTAAGTAAACAGAAACTTCACACAGCCCTGATGCACACACTCTGACTTCTTCAGGGTTCACAGTATGTTAATAGTTTCTGTCCTCTAGGGTTTTATTATCATATGACCCACTAATGTGTATGTTGACTTTAGCTAATGAAGCTATTCAGTTTTAGGATAGTGATCTCTCCGTTGAATGATATTATCTCCATCTTTAAAGTTGATTTAGGATCAGCTTTTGGAGAGAGGAGAACAATAAGAGAGATTAAGGGTTGGCTTCTAACCTTTAGAATCTGAGGTTCTTTGGCGTTTCATCTCTAAGAGGACATTGGCAACCTCTTAAACATGATTTGCAATGCTCAGCTTCTTACAACTCTGGGGAAGAGGTGCTAATGCTGATCTTTGGTCTGATGCAAGTTCTCCCTGAGGCTTTTAAATAGGAAGAGCTGATGGCGACTTGCTGTTCTCACACACTCTCCTTATCATCAAATCCATTGTGTGTTTGCTGTTTGAGTATTTTGGCCATGTTTGTTACTAATCTTCCTTTTCTTCCCCCTGTAGTCTCCCATTTGGTGTCAGAATTCATAGCAAATGTTTATAATGCTTACATATAAATCTGTAGACAAATTATTTTTATTTTTATCCTGATACTCTGGACTAATCCTACTGGGAAAAAAACATAGAAAAAATAAAATTTCTGAAGATTTTTTAAATTATTATTTTATGTTAATTAATTAGTTACACCCAGCATGTTTATGGCCAAGCAAACTGTACTGACTGTGGAGTCATATGTATTTAATAGAAACTACCATCTTTGCCCATATATTGCATGATCATAATAAATTTGCAAATAATTTGATATAACCTGTACATTCCTGTTAGTAACTCTGGCCTTTGAATTCTATCCATTGTATACATTGCTGTTAAAGGAAGCCAGATTGCTTTCTTAACTAGTCTTTCAAATGCTTTCTCTAGTACATACTCTACTTCTAATGTCACATAGAGCATGGTTCTAATAATAAATTTTAAAGTATGTGGTTACTCTGGGATTTCTTACCTTGCATTTTTTTAACCTCTGGGATACCCCAAGCCACAACAAACAGCTACATTTTAGCTGTCTAAATAACTCAAGCCACCCGACGCAGTTATTAATTGCACATAAACATTATCTGTGTAAAAGGAAGTTAGCGTATGTGATATGAAATGAACAGTCTAACAGAAGGCAGAAGCTCCAGAAATTTGGAGCTGACACTTCTCATGTATATAATGATTCACTTCAATTTTTTGTAGGAAAAGAGAGATAGTCATTGCATATTCCTTGATGACTTCCCTGTAATAAAACATGTGCCTCTTGATCATCTGTTCTGAAAAACATTTTACGTTAACCTCGGCCTGCTTGATACCAAAATGCAACTCAATTTTTACACATTTAGAATACTTATTAAAAATTCTGGGTAAGAAAAATTCCTTGAAAAATCTGTGATCTCTTTGGAATTTTATATTCAACATCAGGCAGTTAGGAGAGGGAAAGATTAAATAAGCCATGTGTTCTTCAAGTGAATCTCAGGGGCCTTAGAATGTTGTTGCCAAGCCCCAGGACATACTTTCCCTCACGAGAGCTCTTGAAAACCTGATTAAAACAGGTGGAGAAACAGAAACTATTCATAAGCAGTATTTGTCCTTTGACAACCAATTGTCTGGTCTCTACTTTGTGTAGTTTTTCTGCTCCAGACTGCTCCTACAGTAACTACTGTTTCCAATGACATCCCTTCAATACCATACTCATTCTCTGTGCCAGCTGTGGCTTTTGCACAGGTTATTGGAGAATTCAAGGCTGTATTGGATTCTTTCCCCCTTGAAGTCATTTAATGATCATGTCATTCATCTGGACAGTTTCATCGTACTATATTATTCTGGTATTTACATGTTTTGCCTGAGAGTTTTATTTGTACAAAATGTTGCCCAATATGTTTATTAAGGACAAAAATATTCTGAGACTATTTTGTATCCTTTACAATACCTGCCAGTACTGGGCACAATCAATATCTTGTTGAATAAACAAACTTTTAGCAAGCAGGTACATTTATATGTCTTCTTCTTTTAGCACTGTTTTGAATTGCTTTGTCTTGCTAGCTAGCCCCTATTACACACTAGGTATATTACTGGGCTTTTATCACTTCTTATCTTAGTTCATGCTCAACATAATCCTATGTGGTAGGTTATTATTATTCTCATCTTATGGTTTAGGAAACTGAGTCTGAAAGCCCATCAGTGGCAGAGGGAGTTCAAACTAAAAGGCTGTTTACCTCCCAAAACTGTGTTCATTGCAATACAACATGCTGTCTTGTAGATTTATTCAAGATGTCTAAATATTTTTTTAATTTGAATATATATAATCCAGTGTACAAAAGTACAACTATACACAAAAACTTTTCTTCTTCATATATGAGTAAATTCAAACATTAATTTTTCACATTAGAACCTTATAGTATAAAACTGCCTAAATATATTTCAAATTACTTACAAATTTGTAGTATAAATTTTCTTTTAAGAAAGGCATGCCTCAGAATCAGCTCTTAAGGCATTCGGATCCAACTAAAAAGCCCAGGAGAGCATTTCAGGCATGGAAAGCCGAGACACTGTGGCAAAAAATGATCTACACGAAGGATCTCTGTGAATGAGATCCCAGAGGAAAGAAGGGACCATCAAAGAAGGAGGTTCCTTTCTCTGAAGGGAGGAGGGAACTTCCACTTTGACTATGGCCTTGTCTAAATAAGGTCAGAGTTTGTGGACTCAAGAGGCTTCCATAGCTTTGGCAGCTCATGACAAGAGCCTTGGGTGATCACTGACGTCATAAGTAAGAGTGTCGATTATTAAATCAACAACAGGAGTCACTGTGCAGTTGCTCCCCACGTAGAACCTCTGTCCTTAATGAGTTGTACTATGAGAATTAACAGTAAAACTAATCTTCAAACAGTACTTTATACTTTGTGTGTCTGTGTGGGCGAAAACTGTTGAAATCTTTACTTAGTATATAAAGATAATTAAAAATAAATCTTAATGAAGAATAGTATGGGAGAGGGAGTAGGAGGTGGGATGGTGGGCATGGGAGGGTGAGTATGGAGGGAAGAACCACTATAATCCAAAAGTTGTACTTATGAAATTTATATTTATTAAATAAAAGCTTTCAATTAAAAAAGGGCATGACTATTGAATAAAGCTTACATTCCTGTATGAAACTGCATACATACTTTGAAAAGAAAACCTTGGCTTTTATTCTATATTCACAAATTTCACTTATATACCTGCCCTAATACAAGTCTTTATATGAAATAATTATAACTGAATTTCTAATTTATTCTAATATCAGTGTTGATAAGGTTAATAAAATAATAACCATTGGTATTTATTTGTAAAACTCTTTTGTATTTAGTTATTGAACATTGATTTGATTTTTGAGAGCACACTTAATGTAAGGCAACTTGGTGCTGAGCAACAGGAGTCAGATACTGTTTCCTGCAAGACCTCTGTCTGTAGAGCAGTGGGGTGATGGAGGTAGTGGCAACTGTTTCAGAGGGATTAGTGAGGGAGCTTGGCAAGTGGGATTAGGGAAAGTAGGAATGAATGATTATCTCTGAATACCCTCGATTTCTGAATTTGCACAGCAGTATGATGGGAAAGATTCTAGTTCCTACCCCAGGATATGGCGGGTATTAGAGTCTTAAGGTAAAGAGAATTTTCCGCAATGTTGTTCAGAAGCATGGAAAATATTACATTATTACATTGGAATAGAAATGACAAGTGTGGATGCCATTCCCAATGTTTCTGTTCATTTTATTCCTCAGCGCCCATAACCCAGGGAACTGGAGTCAACTTCCCAATTGGAGAAATCCCGAGCCAACCATATTACCATGACATGAACTCTGGGGTTAATCTCCAAAGGTCGCTGTCTTCTCCACCAAGCAGGTAATTGAAAAAGGAGCTGCTCAAGTTCTCAGCCTACATGCAGATATACATATACATATATATATGTGTATATATATAGATATTCACACACATATACATAGAGAGAGGCAGATATGCAGGTGGTTAGGTAGGTATGCAGGTAGGTAGATAGGTGGGTAAGAAGAGAAATAAAACGATTTTTGCTAATAGTATGCAGATTTTGAATCTTTCCTAATTAAATTTCTTGTGATATTTGCAATTAAATGTCATTATCCAAAGCACCTTTTAAAATCTTTGTTGGGGAAAAAGGGAATTACGAAAATTAATGTGATTTTTATCCTGTTGTATGAAATAGTCTTCTATGAGTTAGCCAATTCTTTTGGTGACTTTGAAAATGATGTTGCTATGGCAGTAATCCCTGGCTTATAACTGGTCCAACCTGGTAACTGTTACCCTTAATACCACTTCCAAGCTTGGGATAATGAAATATCAAAAGTGAAGTGTATCATTTATCTAACCTTAAATTAAAGTCCTTATGCTAGAGCATAGTTTTCCAAAGTGTTCAATTAGTTGATAATCTTTGACTAATTTAGTTCATTCTCAGTTATCATGAATGTACTGCCTGCTCTGCAACTTGCTTTAGCTAGTATATGTTGGGGAGGCGCTAGAGTGAGTTTTCTTTGCTTTTAAGTCCTTTATTGGCATTCTCATTCTGTCTGCTGATATTCCAAGTGTAACCTTCAGTCAAGATGGATAAGTAGTACAGATGTATTATTTTGGGTGTTTTTTTTTGAGTTGGGTCTTCACCATTTCAAGACCCATCTCCTTTCCAGAGTGATAATATACACTTATATAAAATATTAATATATAAAATATATTATATTGTTAATATATTAAATATGCTCTTATATCAATATAAGAGCATCACAAATTCCAGAGCAAAGCTGTTTAATCTTTTCTCTAGGTATTTGCTTTTTTAAATAATTGAGGTGAACCATAATAATAATTGAGGTGAAGTTTTCTGTTTGGCTTGAATTTGGCAGTGCCTTTTTTACATGGTTAATCTTTAAGAATAAAGGATCAGTACCCCAGTGTTTAAAGAAAAATTAAGAATATATGAAATAGTTTATAGTCAGCAAAATACAATACATTATTATTATTATTAATTATAGGGTTACTATTGCTAATTACTATTTTAAGTATATTCTAAAGGTCAGTTACATAAGAGTGTTACATTTAATAATTTATTTAATCCTCTCCGCCATCCTCCTTTGAACTATGTTTTATTGTTTCCATTTTACAGATGACTAAACTGAGTTTAGAAAGGTTAAAGAGCTAACTAATAAGAACTAATAAGTGGCCTAGTCAAGATTTGATAATAGGTTGTCTGCTTTTGAAGCTCTGTTCTTTTCTACTCCATTAACCTATCTTTGAATGAATAGGAAAAGTTTACATTGTCAGTGGCAAGTGCTATACAAATGAACATCATTAATATCAGTGGCAATTACAATAAGAATAAGGTACAATCACAATTCTGTCACAATTTTAATACTAGTAGACAGATCACATTAAAAGTTAATTTTTTATTGCTGAAATTTCTCTGTGAATACATTTGAAAAGATAAAAAGTGTAATGAACACTTTACTTGTTTGGTAGGAGAAGGTATAAGATAGTATAATAAATGGTATAAACCACTGGAGTTATTTGCTATTCCTGTTGATATTTTGAATACTTGGAATGATTCTGAGATACTGTTAACTTCTTTTGTATAGATATTTCCGCAGTAAGAATCTTCTCAAGTCAAATGCTATACATCTTCCCAGAAATCCCAGTAATATAACTATTGTCATATTTTAACAGCAAAAGACCCAAAACTATATCCATAGATGAAAATATGGAACCAAGTCCTACAGGAGACTTTTACCCCTCTCCAAATTCACCAGCTGCTGGAAGTCGAACATGGCATGAAAGAGATCAAGGTGAGTAATAAGGAGATTCTTCCAGGACCTCAAAGTAAAAGGTCGGCCCTTTTCTTAAGTTTTATTTATCCCCAATTCCATAATTGAACCAGCGTGATATAAGGGAGGGAGAGATCCTTTTTACCCCTCTTAGTTCTTTGACTGGATTTAGGAACTCGGTTACTGTAAGAGGGGATTCACAAGACAAGGGTACCCAAGTTTTGTTAGTTTTTCCTGCACATGGAGATCTTCATATGAGAATGAAGTCCAAAGAAATGACCAAAGCAGATGCTTATATACATTTTAGACAAAACAAGAAATCCATGAAGAAATGAAAGGACAAGTGGATCTCCAGCATAAGGTGGTAAATTCTAGGGATGTCGTGAACAGATATGTGGGAAATAGAAGCTAGTGGAAGGTATGGTTAGTTCTTTATTCGGTTCATTGCAACCGGACTTCCTAGTCTCTGATGATCAAGCCATTTTCTGGCCATGAAATGTGAAGAACAAAAAAACCCTTGTGGCTTCGTGCATTTAGGAAAAGACAGGCCAGACAGCCCTTTCTGAAGTTACAGTTCTGCAAGTAATTTCAGCTTGAAATAATCAATTTGTGAATTTGGTATATCTTGAAATGGCATGTCCTTAGCTCCTTCAGTGGATTATATTCACGGAATGATTTCAGTAAAAATACACATGGCGCGGGTCGCACACAGCCATTCCCAACTTCCTGCCTCAAGTCAGCCCTTGGCTGTGATTTTGTGTCTTCCCCTGGCCCCACCCTCTGCACTCTCACTTCTTCACTAGTTAAGATCTCAACATGTCAAAGGAGAGCCACCTTCCAGGTCTGCTTTCTCCATGAAGATCTTTCACTACTCTTCAGACCCTAGGGTACTTGCTATAAAAACTCTGAGCAGCCAATAAAGGGGTTTTGAGTAAGGAATTGACTTTGGCCAAAAGGGCTAAGCGAAGATTGCTCAGCATACTCTAGAGCTCCTTTGTTTCACTTTTTTTTTAAATGCAGATTTGTTTTAAAGGACACTTTTCAAAAACATTTTTATTCTGCTGACACAAAACCTTATTTGCATACATGTGCACATACCAACAGACATCGCAGGTTTTCTATTTCCATGCTTTCTAGTCTTCCTCTGATTGTGAGAAAGAAGAATAGGTATATATGGTGCGCCACATTAAAACGAACAGAGAAAAAAGAGTAAGTCTGAGTCCATAGAACCAAATAATATCTATTTCTTAAAGTTACATCTCTCCCTCAAAGCTTCCATAGAAGTGAGTCGTATTTTATCTAGAAAACGTAAGCAGATTGACTCTGTTCCCAGCACTCTCAGGGCAAAATCAGAATTCCCTCAGAGGACTGACAGGCCTGGCCTCCCCACACTGCAGCCTCCGCCAGTGCTGGTCTGCTGTTCCAGGCTGGCACTGCAGCCCACTGCTTTGTATCAGCTTGGAAATGCAGTACCCAGGACCATCCTCTCTGCAATGCTCTTCTAACCCCCCCAGCTAGAAAATCCTTCAATTGAGGAATTTCAAGCTAAATTAGGCCTTCCTGTTTTTATTTCTTGACACCCATGACTGTTCCTTCATTGTACTCACAATATGTAACTCATTTATTTAGGGAATTAATTGTTTAAATCTGTCTCCACTGTGAGGGCACAGACCTCTGTTTCGTCCGTTACTATAATCAGCACCCAACACAACACTTGATGCACAGTAGTGGCAAAACAAATATTTGTTGGATAAATGAGCCATTGATAAACAGAACCCAGTCCTGTTAGTGAGGACAAGAAATATTAGAGACTTTTACCAGGCTTGCAGAAGTGAGAATAAAAACAAAACCCTCAACCCTTTATATTTTATTGCTTGTTTTATATTTTATTGTCAGTTTATTCCAAAGTCATGTTTTCCCTGTCACAGATTATTCTGGAAAGGCTTCTACTGGTAATAATAACAACACTGTGAACGTGTGGGAATGGATGTATTGTTCAGAAGTGTAGGTGTTCTTTATCATAGAGAGTGTCACTTTACTAAGAATTGATTCCTCTTCCAGCCTGTTGAATAAAGCTGATCTCAAATCATATTATAAAACATTTTTGAAAAGTAGAAGGGAAACTGTCATTCTTTCTCTTTGTAAAACTGTTATATTGTCTCCGTAATTTTCTATTGTCAAGATGGCTAGAATTATTGGGGAAGTCTGCAACTGCATATTATATTGAGAGTAAGAAAGGATGTTCCATTCTCTAGTATGCCTAAGAAAAACTCTGTCACTTTCATTCTGAATATCCTGAAGACTTTGTAATTCACATAATAAGCCATTGTGGAAAGAAGACTTCAACTACAATGGAAAAATGAGGGCAGTACAGTACTATCTTTATAAATTTGCTAAGCCCAATGCAGTCCTTTTGTTCTTAGAAAATTGCCTTTTTTTTTTAAATTTGAAAAACAAAATGCCCCATGGTTGCTCTTGCCCATCTTCAAGTGTTCTTTACATTTACCTACCTGCCAGGAGGGATCTCTGGAGAGCATGTATTGCGTGCCACTCCTGTATTTGTGATGGCTTTGACAGGTCTAATACTTGTTTCTGCACTAACTGCTGCTAAGTAACTCCTAGGTTGATCACAATATGCTTATATTTATAAATGGCAAAAAATGCATATAACCACTTTTTTTAAAGATTTTTTTTTATTTGAAAGGCAGAGTTACAGAGAGAGATAGGGAGAGAGAGAGAGAGAGATCTTTCATCTGCTGCCTAGATGGCCGCATTGGCCGTTTAGTCAAGATCATAAAATAAATCTAAATTCATATAATGATGTTTTGCAGTTGGTAGTTGTTTAATGAAAAATGCTTTATTTTAGCATATTACAAACATAATTGATTGTATATTTGTCTTTTGAAAACAAAATGGTTAACATTTATCATAAAAATTATAATTTATAATTTTACAAAATACAGGCATAAAATTTTTAAACACTATTGAATAGTGCTAAACACTTAATTGGGGCCATGTAATTTGCTTGAATTTCTTCTGATGAGTAGTGAAATAAATTATTTTTAGTTTATGTTCTTTTACACATAAAGAAGGAAAGAAAAAGGAAAATAGCATTGTACCATCAACAAGGGGCTAGAGAGCAACTGCTCAGTCCTTCTTAAATTTTAGAATGTATCTCCTTTCTTTGTCTCTTTGTATGAGTCCCCTGGTCCTAAACTTCTGAGTGCTTCCACCTAAATTAAAATTTTTCTTTTTTAAATTCTATTTTCCATAATTTAAGATTTTAATTATTAAATTAATAGAATCAATTTCAGTCTGTCAATTTGCAGGTTGAAAATTTCTTTTATTCCAATATTTACTCCACAAAAAATTCCATTGAGATACTATCTGTCTTGAGTTTTTTTCTATCTGAGTTGTATTAGATTTAATTCCTAGATAATGTACTTCTCTTGAAATGGTTAGAGTAATCCTTTGTAACTTCTGATTTAAAAGGAAAAACAAAAGATGGGACATGGTTTTTTTCCTCTAATTCAAATTACTTTCGTGAGACTAAATTCAGTTTTATTTCAATGATCAGTTTAATAGATAAATTATATGTTTGACATTTGGAATAATTCTTTATCAAAGTTACTTTGCCATTGCCATTCTAGTGGTCATTCATTCATCTAAGTATGATTGTAGAACTCCTGGAACATTATTTAACAGACGTTTAGTGATCAAAATACAGTAATGCAGCTGGGAATTTCTTTTTTTTTTAATTAATTTATTTATTTGAAAGTCAGAGTTACACAGAGAGAGAAGGCGAGGCAAAGAGAGAGAGAGGTTTTCCATCCGCTGAGCTGCGCCGATCCGAAGCCAGAAGCCAGGAGCTTCTTCCAGGTCTCCCACACTGGTGCAGGGGCCCAAGTACTTGAGCCACCTTCTGCTGCTTTCCCAGGACATGGCAGAGAGCTAGATCGGAAGTGGAGCAGCCAGGACTGCAGGCAGTGGCTTTACCCACTACACCACAGCACCAGCCAGCTGGAGATTTTTAAATGAAAAATCAGCTTCTTCATCTGATGTGTGTTTAAACAATTTATAGTCTTAGATAAAATTTAAATTCAAAGACTTAATATGCAATAAAATTTTATTGATTTCTGCACATTTAGAATTTGAGATAATTTGGCTCAAGTAATATTTCTCAAATCCCTATTATATGCAAAAATTTTTGTAGACACTGAGTACACAAATATGGATAAACCAAGTTTCTGGCACTTGACCTGCTGAACAGAAAAAAAAATTTTTGCTATTAAGAAAAAAGTCTTAAGTGTGAAAGTCACTTGTGGCCAGCGCCGCGGCTCACTAGGCTAATCCTCTGCCTTGCGGCACCGGCACACTGGGTTCTAGTCCTGGTCGGGGCGCCGGATTCTGTTCCGGTTGCCCCTCTTCCAGACCAGCTCTCTGCTGTGGCCCGGGAGTGCAGTGGAGGATGGCCCAGGTGCTTGGGCCCTGCACCCCATGGGAGACCAGGAAAAGCACCTGGCTCCTGGCTCCTGCCATCGGATCAGCGCGGTGCGCTGGCCGCAGTGCGCTGGCCGCGGCGGCCATTGGAGGGTGAGCCAATGGCAAAAGGAAGACCTTTCTCTGTCTCTCTCTCTCTCACTGACCACTCTGCCTGTCAAAAAATTAAAAAAAGAAAAAAGGGGGGACTTCACAGAAAATAAGTAATATAAGCCGAATTATGAGGAGGCTGTCTCTATGGCTCTGAGATAACTTATTTTTAAGCACAAATGAGACATAAAACTTTAAATAAAATAATTGACATATTAGTAAAAACTTACAATACTTGCTATATTGGTATGTGATTATAATTTTAACAGTAGTTTAAAAAACTACACTGGGATCTCAAATAGACAATAATTAGGTACTGTGTTCTGGTTGCTGTAGTTACTAGAAAATAAAGCACTATTTTAAAAAAAAAAATTATAATTGAGGCTGATGTTGTAGCATAACAGGTAAAGCTGCCATCTGCAATGCTGGCA